CTCACAGAGATCTGTCTCCCTCTGCCTCCCTGAGTCTGGGATTAAAGTTATGTGCCACCACGCCCAGCTTCAATCTTCTTGTTCCTCCTCCTCTTGTTTTTTTCGAGACAGGGGTTCTCTATGTACCCTTGGCTGTCCTGGACTCACTTTGTAGACCAGGCTGGCCTTGAACTCACAGAGATCTGCCTGCCTCTGCCTCCCTGAGCACTGGGATAACAGGCGTGTACAGCCCTGCCAAGCTTCTTTTTAATGTTTAATTTGAGACATGGGTCTGAGTGCTTCAGGGTGGTCTTGAACTTCTTGTGTAATCTGGGTAGTCCTTGAGCAGTCAATCCCCCTCCCTTGGCCCTGCCTGCTCTCATAACATTGTTTTTTAAAGGAACCTTCTCTTTCTAAAATAAGTTTAAAAGGAACCTTTATAGAACTAGAGAAGAGAAGGTAGAAAGAATAGAGAAGGTAAAAAAGGAGAGGTAAAGAGAAGGTAAAAAGCATAGAGCCTGCCAGACCACTGGTTTGGCCTGTAACCCTATCTCCTTGGAAGGCTGAGGTCAAAAGTTTGAGGCTTGCCTTTGCTACATAGTGAATTTAAGGCAACCCCAGGCAATTTAATGAGACCCTGTCTCACAGTAAAGATTATACACACACATACACACACACACACACACACACACACACACACAAAGCTAGGCATGGTGAAGCACAACTCTAATGTGTAAAGAAAAGAGGATCGGGAGAAGGTCATCCTCAGCTACACAGCATGTCTGAGGGCTACATGAAACCCTGTCTGAAAAATACCAGAGGCAGGGGCTGGAGATTGTGGCTCAGCAGTAGATGCTTACCTAACATGGGCAAAGCCCTAGGTTCACTCCCCAGAAACATACACAGTTTAAAGCTGAAGATGTCACATAACATGCCTAGGGCTCAGTAAACCTTGCCAAATGCTGAGGAGTGCTCTGAACTGAGACTCCTGCCTCTTTCCTCAAAATAGAGATGACTCATGTAAGAGAGGTACCAATCTGTGCTTACAAAAAGATAAAGGATGAGCATGGCAACACTTGACTGTAGTCCCAGCTATTTAGAAGGCTGAGGCAGGAGGATCACCTGAGCCTAGGAGGTCAAAGACACCAAGAAACAAAGGGAGACCCCATCTCAAGGGAGGAAGCAAAAGAGGAGGAGGAGGAAAAGAAAGAAAGCCAGCCAGACATTCATGGAGGCTTATGCCTGTAAATCCCTGCACTTTGGGCTGAAGCAAGAGGTTCACCAAGAGCTCAAAGCTAGCCTGGGCTACACAGACCCTGGACTCACTGAATTCCTGAGGACTGGAGGTATGGCTTACTTAGTTGGTAGTGTCTGGCTAGCATGCACAAAAGCTCTGGCTTCTTTCCCTAGCTCTGTACACACTGGGTGTAGTGGTAGATTCCTACAATGTTAGCTGGGACCCACGAGACTATCTCAAAAAACAAAACAGTCTTGCTGGCAAAATAGCTTAGCACTTGTCATGACTCAATGACCTGAGCTCAGCCCTCAAATCCCATAATGGAAGAAGAGAACCAAATCCTGAAAGGTTCCCTCTAACCCCCATTTGTAAGCTGTAGTATCAGGCTCAGGTATGTGTGCCCAAACACAACAACTATAACCACGCGTGCGCACCCCCCCAAAAAAAAACAACAACAAAAAGAATTAAAAGGCCTGGGCATGATGACATATGCCTTTAATTTTACCATTCAGGAGGCTGGATCAGATGATTGGTGAACCTAGAGGCCATCATGGGCCACAAGTGGGACTGTCTCAAGGGCCAAAACCAGAAAGGAAACAGATTCTGGAATCGTCCTGTTTATGATGCAGTATATTCCAGTGTGTGCCACCTAAATACCTTGAGCAGCAATACTTGTACATTTGATACCTGAGCAAACTATGACCTTGACCTAGGAACTTTTCGCTAGAGCAGAGGCAGATCTGAGAGTTCCTACTTTGCCTGAAGCCACAGGAAGGAGGCTGATTTGGGGTTATGGGTTCTAGCCCAGTGAACTCAAGCTTTGCTACTGAGGCTGCCTGAAGACCTATCCTTTGGTCTGGTTTGAAAGCTTGGCCAGTAATGTGGGCACAACTATGTACTCAGAGTGGCACACAGTTCCAAGCTGCCTCTCAGAGTGGCTTGTAGGCCCAAAAGATGGGTCTGGATTTCATCTTATTCCTGGGTTTCCCTAAGATCTTTCCAAGAACTAACTCCCTAGGGCCAGGGAGCACCTCCCAGAAGCAGTAACAGGGTGGCGGCCCCAGTCACTGAAGCTCATTTCTGTCTTTCTTTCCCCTGTGCTGCCTTGGGCCTGGGTCATTTCAGAGGAGTCTCAGGTAAGATGGGAGTGAGTTCTGCTCTGAGGCTTCCTCCCTCCTAGAGAGTCCCAGAGGGAAGAGGTGAGGTGGAAGGGCAGAGCACGGACTGTGGAAGGGAGGGAAGGGACCCAGAGATTTTTTACATCAGCCCTGACTTCCACCCTCCCTACAGCTCTACACCCTCGCCGTGATGGGCCCGGGGTCACCAGATCGCCAGCCAGCCCAGATCTCTCGCCGCTACTCGGACTTTGAGCGGCTGCACAGAAACCTTCAGCGGCAATTCCGGGGCCCCATGGCTGCCATCTCCTTCCCCCGTAAGCGCCTGCGCCGGAACTTTACTGCAGAAACCATTGCCCGCCGTAGCCGGGCCTTTGAACAGTTTTTGGGCCACCTGCAGGCAGTGCCCGAGCTACGCCAAGCTCCAGACCTACAGGACTTCTTCGTGCTGCCCGAGTTGCGGCGGGCACAGAGCCTCACCTGCACTGGCCTTTATCGTGAGGCTCTGGCACTGTGGGCCAACGCCTGGCAGCTGCAGACCCAGCTGGGCACCCCTTCTGGCCTCGACCGACCCCTGCTGACTCTGGCTGGGTTGGCTGTGTGCCATCAGGAGCTGGAGGACCCTGGGGAAGCACGCGCTTGTAGTGAGAAGGCCCTGCAGCTGCTGGGGGATAAGAAACCCCATCCTTTCCTGGCACCCTTTCTCGAGGCCCATGTCCGGCTCTCCTGGCGCCTGGGCCTGGACAAACGGCAGTCAGAGGCCCAGCTTCAGGCCCTACAAGAGGCAGGCCTTACCCCCACTCCACCCCCCAGCCTCAAGGAGCTGCTCATCAAAGAGGTGCTGGACTAACTTGTGCTTGTCCTAAGGCCACGTCTAGGAGAGGGGCTGCCCCAGGCAAGGGGGCAAGGGCTGAGGACAGTGAGTGACTGTAGGCTGAAAGGCATTCTGGGCCCCTGTAAAGTAGTTCCAGAAAGATTGTGCAGCAGACTGAGAGGAACTTCGTTTTCCCAGGCTGGGCCGGGAAAGGGCTTTGGCTGGGGTTATCCTAGGATGATACCAGGAGGAAGTCTTGGCATGGGGATCCTCAGCCTACCACAACGGGAGGCTGTGGCCAAGGTGAGAGTCAATGTTTGCTTTTCCATGGGCCCCTAAACCAGTGAAACAGCTTGGCTGAAGGCTGGGAACTACTACTGGAGTCCTGGAATTCGAAGATGGGGAGGGCTGTAGCTCCATTAAAGGTCAGCTACTCCAGTGTTAGCAATCTCTTTATTGGATGTAAGGGCAGGAAGCGCAGCTCTCAACTGAGACTCCTGCCTCAGGAATGGCAGTGAAAGAGTCCTTTAAGCCCCAGGTCGAGTCAGTTCTTTTGACTATAGCTTACTCTCTGATACTGGAGGCTTCAATCGGATCACACCCTCCTGGGCACAGGTTACAGCAAGAACCCCATCCCGACGCCACAGCCGCCCATGTACTAGCCCTCGAGAGCCACCTGTGGGCAAGGAGAATGGTGAGAATGGACTCTACTTTGGTACAAGCCTGCCTAGTCTGCAAAGGGGTTTGACACAAGGCAGAGCTTGCCCTGCACAAGAGCCCATCGGAATACCCACTGTGGGCCTGTTACAACACTGGGAGGCTTTCATTTCATGGTTTAAAAGCACTTTTCAAGAGGAAAGTGCTTGCTTCCTCAAAAGGATCACAGAGAGAGGTGCTTTGACAACAGTCTCAAAAGGCTTGACGAAACTGACTGGCCACTTGTCAGAAATCCCAAATCAAGTCCTCCCAGCAGGTAATTCACCCAAACTACCACCAGGGGGTGCTGCCCAGAGAGGACCTGAGACCTTGAGGTGTGTGTGGCCTCCTTTTGGGCTCCATCTGGAGGCTCGCTCTTTCCCTTGGTGGCCCTGGCCTGAGTCAAGTTATCCTCAGGAAGCCAACTTCGGGTTTCCTTACATACAGCAGAGCCCACTTAGATCTAACTGTAGCTGTAGAGCCTGGGCTTCATTCCTTGTCCTGTTTTCCAGACAATGACACTAAAGTACAAAGAAGATCAAGCCAAAGCTGACTGAGCGTCCCAACTTCAAGGTCAGAATCTTGTCCTGTCATATTGTTGGTACTTGAGTAACCCTTTCCTGACTACAAGGAGTTGCTTAAGTTTCTCCGTTTTATAAAGCAAAGCTTTTCTTCCTTTGAAGTGTACTTCATTATAAAAGAAGCCAGGGCTCTAACACCAGACATTGATGAGTCGGGGTTTCTCTCTTTCCCTACAAGGAGCATCTAGAAGTGACATCCTTAGAGACCGCAGAGTGTGCTAACTCGAAGAATCAGTCAGGGCGCTCCTTAGAAACAGTGTACAGCTGGGTGGTCGTGGTAATCCCAGCACTGGGGAGGCAGAGGCAGGCAGATCTCTGTGAGTTCGAGGACAGCCAGGGATACACAGAGAAACCCTGTCTCACAAAACAAAACAAAAAACAACAAAAACTCCACCACCAACAAAAACCCATACTTGAGGATGTAGCTCAGTGAAGTCCTTGCCGCACACAAGGGACCCTGGGTTTGATCCCCAGCACTGCATGAACTGGGCATGGTGACACACACCTGTAATCCTAGCACTCAAGAGGAGGTAGAGGCTTAAGTAGTGGTCACCTTTAGTGATATAGTGAGTTTGAAGTTAATCTGAGATTTTAAAAAAAAAGCAAGTTTCCTGGATGCAATCCGGGACCTTCTGGGGCACAATGCAATCTGTTTAGAAGCAGCTCCCTCAAGTGGCAGTCTGATGGCTCACTAGGTTTAGATAGTGCTGTCTATTATGACCCTGTTTATTCAGATGAAAAGAACTGAGAAACAGGGCATGGTGGCTCCCAGCACTTGGGAGGTTGAGACAGGATGATCAGGAATTCAAGGCCAGACTCCACTCCATATAGAGTTCAAAACTAGCTGGGGCTACATGAGACTCTGGTTTTAAAAAAAAAAAAAAAAATGCTGAGGTACAGTAGCACACACATTCACAGAGATATGTGGGTCTCAGTTCTAGGAAAGTCAGAGCTGCATAGTGAGACCCTGCCCCTCCCTGAAAAAAAAAAGCTTCAGAAAGGATTTGCCCAAGTTCATATAGGGCCTCTAAAGTGGTCTGGCCACCCACACTGTGGGTCTCTGAGATAAAGTCACCATTGCCAGCATGCTCCCATGCTTTTCAAGACAACACAAATACCTTGGGGACAGCAGCACAAGGGCTCTGTGCAGCATCCCCAGACAGTGGGAAAAGGCAGGAGCATCCAAAAATAAAGCAGGCTCCTCACCATCCCAAGGACGCTGGCCCACGCCCACACTCACCAGCCCAGGGGCTCTCGCACTCATAGAGCATCCAGTGGTCAGCTCGGAACGGGGCGTGGAACCACATGGAGTGGTCCAGCGAGACCATGAACTTCACTTTATACTTGGGCTGGTGGGGCAGCAGTGCGGTACCCAGGAAGGCGTAGTCAGAGATGTACGCAGCCACACAGCAGTGCATCTTGATGTCGCCCTCCCCTGCAACAGGGCGCAATCCCATCAGCCCTGGGCTCCTGGCCTTTCCAGCTCAGGACCTGCAGGGAGGTGAGGGAGAAGAGGGCTGCCACACACAAACTAGTCATTGAGCGAGGGCACCAGGCCCAGGGTACAGGCTGTGTGTGAGAATAAGGAGATGGGGACTAAGGGAGGACTGGGGTAAGTCAAATGCAAGCCCAGTCACCCAAGTCTCTCAGCCCCAACCACTCTTCTCTGGTCCTGGAATCAACCTGCACAAAGGCATCTTCGGATAGCTGCTGACCTATAAAACCTCAGCAAGGTACCATGCTTCCTCCAGAAAGGTCCAACAATGGGATCACAGTCACCTCGTCATTCTCATGTTAAAGGGTAAGGGCTCTGGTGGAAACTGAGCCAAATTCCACATAATTCAGATTAGGAAACATGCCAAAGAGAGAGTGGTATACCCATGCGATAGAGGGCAAGCGAGTGGCAAGGCCTAGACCCCGGGAGTGCTTTCCTCCAATTCATGGGTCCTCTTACCAATATAGCCCCGGGCTCGCACCCAGAACATCTGCTTGGGCTCCAGTGTCCGCCGCTGGCTCAGGGTGGGTGGGTTCACCAGCTTGATCTCAATAGGCACCTCTCGGGCAGCAATTCGGTTCAGACCCACTCGGTATTTCTCGTGGAGGTTAGGGTCCCTGAAAGCAAAGACAGGGACAAGGAAGCCCAAGGAGAGGGAGCTTCTCTGTACTGCCTCTTCTCACCCCACCATTTGCCACCGGCTTCTGTCCTGTCCGGCTTCTGAAGCTGACAAAGCAATAGTGTTTGAATCCCTTCCTTGTCACTTCAGCCATGCAGCCTTGTGAGAGTCAGTCATCTCTCCGAGGAGCCTATTTTCCCCATCTGAAACAGAGTAATGTGACCTGCTTCTCAGCAAACGTCATACACCGTTAAGGTCTAAGCACTGCAGACAACCATAACTCAGTCCTTGCCACGACCTCACATGAGTGTGGTCATCACTCCAACTGCTAAGACAGGTGAGCACAGGAAACCCAGGCGGCCTGCTCAGAGGAGGGAAGAAGGATCTGATGCCAGGCAGTCTGGACCCACGGACATACATCTAACCACTTCATTACTGTGAAGTGTCAAGGAAAGCCTCCCACTGTGTCTTCATTCTCCACCCCAAGCAGCTGGGAGCCCCGTGTGCGGAGGTGACACCATGTCCGTGGAAACCCTCGTGTTATTAGTAGGTTCTGCCATCACCACCCCATCTGATGGACTATTCATCCCCACTGTCCACTGTGGGATCCACTAGCCGCATGAGACTGAGAGCTTGAAATGTGGCCACCGTAGCTATGGAACAAAATCAGTGAGGGATGTGGGATGGGGCTGTTGCTCCTTGGCAAGGAGCCTGCCTAGCATGTGCAAAGCCCTGGGGATTTGATCCTTAGCAACACACACAAAGGAAGTCTTCATTCATTAATGCAATTCATCCATTAATTTTGAAATAGCCTATAGGGTTAGTTGCTACCTAATAGAGGAGCACAGTCCTAAATTCAGGCTACTTTAACAATAATGTTATTTTTATTTCTGCACGTACTAAGCTCCATGCTTTATTCTTGTCTGTCAGTGGTATAATATCCACATAGGGCCCCCTCATAGCTAAGAGCCTGTACACCTGTTATTTAATCCCCACAGAAACCTTGAGGGGGGAGTTATGATTTGCTCCATTTATAACCAAAAGTACAGGTTCAGGGTGGGCAAGCATTTGCCCAAACTCACACAGCTATTAGGGACGGAATCTAGACTTGAATCCTGGCCATTAAGGCTCCTGAACCCACACCCACCCGCACGCCCTGCTACTGCCCCAGTGTCCAACACTAGCAACAGGACCACCACCACCCCTTTAGCACAGCTGGAGAAATGACTGTTCCATTCTTCATCATTCTTAGGTGAAAGAACAAGGGCCTTGAGAGGCTGGTGGATAGGGAAGTCTTAGAGCAGGTAGGCCCTAACAGAGGCACAGTCCCTGCCAGAATCCATGTGTCTGTCTGTGTCTAGACCCAGAGCTATTTAGAAGACAATAAAGTGAAGATACCGACTGGCCATGCCAGCCAGGCACAGGGTCCCAGAGAAGGACGCTCAACCTGCCATACATTAGCTCCAAAGCTCCTGCACCATAGGCCTAAAAGCAGGAGGGACCAAAAACCCAGTGGTTGCAAAAGCAGTTTATTGTTGGAGTCAAGTACTGAGATTTGAACCCAGGGTCAATTTTTAAAATGATTTTATTTCATTTATTATAGATGGGTGAGGAGAATATGTACATGTACTACAACATGTGTGGGACGATCAGAGGACAACCTAGCAGAGTCAGTTTTCTACTTCCACCTTTATATGGGTTCCAGGGATTGAGCTCAGGCCCTCAGACTTGTACAGCACCTTTACCTGCTGAGCCGTCTCACCGGCCCAACCAACACTTTAATAACAATAAAGCTATCCCATGCCTGCGCTGGCTGCTGGCTGAGTGTGAGCTCTGCCTTTTACATTATGACCCCACACACATGTGCTAACGCAAACAAGAAACACAGCTGAAATTGAAGTTGCACAGAGGGCTCTTACCCTAGTTGTACAGTGGACTCCAATAACTCCTTTGCTGTTTATATATACTGTATATAAAATGTACATTTCTGTATACATATATATCTCTCTATATATGTGTAAGTGCAGTACTGGGGTTAAACCTAGGGTCTTGGTCATGATAAGCACATGCTCTATTACAGCGTTTACCTCCCAGGCCACCCATATACACACACATACACACACACATATACATATATATTATTTTTAAATTATATGTAATTGTATGTAATTTTAAAATTATTTGTTTTTATTTTATATGGATTAGTGTTTCCCTGCATGTATGTATGTATGTATGTGTACCATATTTGTGTTTAGTGCCCATGGAGACCAGAAGGTTATGTCAAAGCTTTGGAACTGGAATTAGAGGTGGTTATAAGCCCCATGTGGGTGCTGGGAACCAAACTCTGCTGAGCCACGTCTTCAGCCATGCCCAGTTTTTTGAGATAGGGTCTCACTATGTAGCCCTAGCTACCCTAGGAATCACAGAGATCCATCTGGGTCTGTCTCCCAAGTGCTGGGATCTAGTTTATAATTTTAGTAGACAATCAGTACCCACTTAGGGGATCCATGGCTCCTAATGAGTGGGAGCCACTTTGAAAACACTGCCCTGGGACTATATGAGAAGAGAAAGGAACAAGAGAGGTAATAAAATAAAAATACATTATATACATGCATGAAACTGTCAAAATGAAACCCATTACCTCATATAGTATATACTAATTAAAAATGAAAAAGACTGGTGTAGTAAGATGGCATGCAGACCTGACGGCCTGAGCTCCATCCCCAGAGAACAGTCCCCTCGGCATCCCCTATGCTGTGGCATCCACATCCACAAGCTCAAGCCCACCACACACACACAACATTAACTGTTTAATACGAAATGGAGAGTATGTAGACACTCAGAATGCATCTAAATCTAATCATCTGAGTACTGCTTTCTTTTTTTACTTTAAAAACAGGATCTCTCCACATAGGGCTGTATGGCTGGGAGTCCCCAGGGAGACCAGGCTAGCTTTGAACTCTCACACATCTGCCTGTCTCTGGCCTAAATGTGATTTTTACTATGGGCAGAAGTAGTGAATGGTTTAAGGTCTGGGGCATAGCATGGTGGTAGAACACACCTAGCACACACGAGGCCCCTAGGTTTGATTTTTAGAACCATGAAAACTAAAGAATAAAAGAAGTTTGAAAATTAAAAACAACAACAAAAAAACCCTCTCTGGGATCGCAGGTCTCACCTTAAATACTGGTCAATGAGGGCCTCATGGTCCAGCAGCTCTTCTGGTGCGGGGACAGTGGGCATGGAAAACTGGTGCTGCAGGGGGCTGGGCTGCATCTGCTGGAAGGAGGCCTGGCAGATGAAGATGGCCTGGCCATGCTGCACGGCCTTCACGGAGCGCACTGAGAAACTTGCTCCTGTTCGTGTCCGCTCCACGTGGTACAGCACTGGCACCTTCGGGTCCCCTGAAGTGGACATAAGGGACACAGTGACCCGGAGTGAATACATCGGCCCTATCATCACAGTCAGGAAGACAGACACCTCTGTTCTAGTCATCCTAATTTTTTGTTTGGTTGGTTAGTTTTGGTTTTGTTGTTGATGTTTTGAGGCGGGGTTTCGCTCTGTAGCCTAAGCTGTCCTCTTGCCTCTGCCTCTCAAATGCTCGACTTAAAGGTGTGAACCATCATGCCCATCTTTTTCTCTTTTTTAAAGATACATTTCTCAGCACGTTGCTGTCACTCGCTTTTGGCAGAGGCCCAGGCAGTCATGGGAGTCGGATGTGTCTACAGTAGAAAGCAGGGACTGCGCTAGGTGGGCCCTGTCTGGAAGCTGTGGGCCCGGAGAAGCTGCAGGTGATGCACCTAGATGGGGACAGCCCATGTGATTGGCTAGGGACACACATTTGGCTTTCTCCACTTGGTCCTAAGTCAGAAACAGGGGCAATTACAAGAGCTGTCAGGTATTAAGCAAGTCCTTGCTCTTTGGGACTGAAGAGGGTCATCCTCATGCATGCTAGACACATGCTCTGCCACTGAAATACACCTCCTGCCCCAAGGAAAGTACCTGAAATGGCCAATCTATTTCTTGTGTCTAGGATTTTAGCCTTTCTCTGCATATAAACACTAACCTCTTCTGCTAGGCTCATTGAAACACTTGTTCTACTAACTTTTTTCTTTTCCCTTCTCCTTTTTTAATTAATTAATTAATTAATTAAATTCAAGTCAGGATCTCACTGTGTAGCGTTGGCTAGGCTGGAACTTACTCTGTAGAGGATAGCTTCTGACTCCCAGAGATCTGCCAGCCTCTGCTTGCTCAGTGCTAAGATTAAAGATATGTGCCACTCTGTCAGGCACATACTATTTTTTTTTTTTGGGGGGGGGGTGTTCAATCCAGGGTTTCTCTGTACAGCTCTAGCTTTCCTGGAACTCACTCTGTCGACCAGGCTGGACTCCAACTCACAAAGATCGCCTGCCTCTGCCTCCCAAGTGCCAAAATTAAAGGTACATGCCTATCAACTTATTCTTTTTTTGAAATGAAGTGTTCCCTTATTTTAAAACCAAAACTAAAGCCAACTGGTATATTTAGGTACCAGCCTGTAATGCCAAGAGCCACCATGCAGGAGGTGAGGCAGGAAGATCAGAATTCCAAGCCTGACTTGGTAACCTTGCTTAAAAACAAACAAAACTGAGCTAGAGAGATAGCTCAGGGGTTAAGAGCACTATCTGCTCTTCCAGACATTCTTGTAGTTCAAGTCCAGCAACCACCTGGTGACTTACAACCTTCTATACAGGGATCTGATGCCCTCTTCCGGCATGCAAATGTATATGCAAATAGAGGACTCATCTACATAAATAAACAAATCTTTAAATACAAACAAACAAAGCCCAGCCAGGCTGGAAGAATCACAGTATAAAAAGGCCAGAGTTGGGCTGGGATGCGGTTCAGTTGGTATAGGATTTGCCTAACATGAAGGAAACCTTGGGCTCTGTCCAACACCAAATAAACAAGATGTGGTGTGTACCTGCAATCCCAGCACCGAGGAGACACAGGCAGAAGGATCAGAACTTTGGGGTCATCCATGGCTACACAGTGGAGGCTGCCATTGTGCCTCCACTACGCAAGTAGCCATGTCACTGTTGAGTGACATCACTAGCCCAGACCAAGCCTTTGCAATGAGAACTCCCCGGTATTGGAGCATGGAGTTTTTAGAGTCTAAAAGATGCTATGGAAATATCTCTGGTCCCACCCTCCTCTGTTTCACAGTCACCTTAGCAAAAGAAGGGAACTTATTCAAGATTACCCTGGTAATTACTATAAAGCTGAAACTGAATCTCCAAACTGCCGACCCTCTAGCCCAATAGCAGTCTCGACATTAGAAGAGGATAAAGAATGAAGAGAGCCAGGCATGGTGGTGCAGGCCCTCACTCCCAAATGCTTGGGAGCCAGAGGGAGGCAGATCTCTGTGAGTCTGAGGCCAGCCTGGTCTAAATGGTGAGTCTCAGACCAGCCAGCCAGGCTACATAGTAAGACCCTGTCTCAGAACAACTAAAATGAATAAAGAAATGGTGAGATGGCCTATCAATTAAGAGCACTTTTTGTTATTGCAGCGGACCCAAGTTTGGTTCCTCCTACCTACAAGGTGGCTCACATGTAACTCCAAATTCCAGGGTATCCAGTGCTCTCTTGTAGCCAACTCAGACAAAAGAAAGCAACATGGTGCATATAAATTCATTTAGGCAATATACATATGCACATACATTTAAAAAAAAAAAACCAAATACATATTTCTTTAAATGAATGAGGGTTGGGTATGGTGGCAACCTTTAATTCCAGCTGTTGGGAGGCAGAGGCAAGCGAATCTCAATGAGTTCCAGGTCAGCCAGGCATACACAGTAAGACTGTCTTGAAAAGCAAAACAAAAGAATGAATGAAGAACAGAGCCAGGCCTAGTGTAATGAAAACTGAGGCCAGCCAGGGCTACACACTGAGACCCTATCTCAAAATAAAAGAAACAAGAAATCTACAAGGAAAGGCCCACCAAGCACAGATAAGCATTAGTCCACACCATTAACAGAGAACATGTAATTAGTGAGTCTCAGTGAATCGATAAGGATAGAGGCTGGTTCCAGATCCTGTGCAGCCTCCCATGTGCTGAGACTACAGACCTGAGCAATGCGATGGGCTCTCCTCCCTGCTTCTTTTGGTGCTTGAGATGGAGTGCAGACCCTCCCATGTGCTAGACAAGTCGCTACCAATAAGCTACGTGCTCAGCCCCCTAGGTACCTTTCAGGGAATCCTCTCTCTCTCTCTCTCTCTCTCTCTCTCTCTCTCCCCTTCTCCCTCCTCTTCTCTGATTCTCCCATCTCTTTCCCTTTCTCTTGAGTCAGCCTTCAAAGCCAGGAGGGGAGGCGTAACTGCTGGGCTACCGAGAGTGGCTGCAAGCGAGGAGCCAGGGTACGGGGTTTACCTGCCCGAACAAAGTAGCAGTGCAGGGAGTGCACGTGGACGTCTTCACTCACAGACTTGGCTGCAGCCACCAGGGCTTGGCCCACAATTTGACCCCCAAAGAGCCGCTGGGACGTTGGTACCCAGTAATGCCTTCCTCCTCTGTAGGGAGAGGAAAGTGGAAGAGACTTGAAGAGTACTCTGGATTCCATAGCCTCAAGTAAAGGACCTAAGGTTATTTGGATCTGTAAGGACAATTCTGGAAGTTTGGTTTCTTTAAAAACAAACACACACACAATATTATAAGAATATGTTCTTGTTTTAATCCTAGGTATGAGGAGGTAGGGCTGCTTTCGGACTGCATCATGTTCTAACCAGCCGCAGACAGTTTCTGAAATTGTGTGGTGTTTGGAATTCTGAGAACTTTTCAGAGGGTATATAAATGCTAGAGCCCCAAGAGTCGGGGTCAGTGGTTGGTTGTTGGTCATTCAGGGAGGTAGGTCTTGGTTTGCTAGTAGTCAAGCTCAAAGAAGAAACAAAAGGAAAGAAATTAGATTCAGGGATCTCTATCTCTCTCCCCTTTCTTTCTCTCTTACCTAGTGATAGGGGGTGAAACGGGTGAGGATGGATGGGTAAAGGGCAGGAAAAAGGAACTCACAAAGTAGCAAAGACCTACTTGGGTCCGTTTTCAGAACCCAAGGAAAGCCAAGGACTTGGTCTCAAATCTCTTACATCACTGCATAAAATTTCAGTCTTCATATCTACCCAAACTTTCTGTGGACTTCAGCCAAGCATAATGAGCTCGCTCCCTCAGTTTACAGCAGAAGTACAAGAAGCAAGTCCACACAACTCAATCTGGGCAGTTTCAAGTCCATGGTTTCTTCCCCTCCTCAAACAAGGGAAAGGCAGAGGCCAGAAGTTTCTTGAGGCCCTGAGTGGACATGAGGAATCCAAAAACAGATGTGGGGCTGGATTGTATGAGTGAAGGCTTGCACTGGCCCTCCTTAACAGTGACAAGGCATTTCTTCCAAGAACTGGCTTCAGAGCTAAAAGGGCCCTCCCTTAGACATCCCATCTAACCCTACCCCAAGAGAAGAAAGGAAGGAAGGCAGAAAAAGTCTAACCATCCAAGGGTCTGAGGTTGTGAAACTCAATACAGACAAACAAGCTGGCCAGGCCTACTAGGTGAGAGGGCTTGCAGTGCTGGAGCCTGAACCCTGAGTCCTACCCCCCAGCCCTGAGGTTATCATTTTTGAAAAGCGCTCCTGGCCCAAGACTGTAATTACCCAAATGGAAGAAGAGAGACCAAAGTAAAGAGAGCTTCTGATAAAATCAGAGATGTCGAGGTCAAAACTGTCACTAAAAAGGCATGGTGGTGCATGCTTTTGATCCCACACCTTGGGACGCAGAGACATGCTGATCTCTGTGAGTTCAAGGCCAGCTTAGTCTACACAGAGCTCCAGGCCGGTGCTGCACTCCTGCCAGCATGCCAGAGGCAAACGCGTATGGGTCCCCTTGGGTCCCAAGGCAACCTGGTCCATGTGGTGAACTTCAGGACAGCCATGACTATAGCGACACCGTCTCTAAACAGAACGAAACAAAAGCCCATGCTGCAATCACCAACTTCAGTGATGCCTGGGAGAAAACATAACCCAGTGACTTACCAGACCCTTTAACGGTGCAGAGATGGAATGAACAACAGGGCAGGGAGCTTATTATCAGACTTGAGTATTGGTTTTTAAAACCCATCAGCTCTGTACCCTCAGGCAAATCACTGCCCTCGCAGATTGATTCTGCCTTGTGTGGTAACCCAGTCACTCGTGCCCACTCTCCACCCCCCACCCCCCATCGCCTCGTGAAGAGCAAGGACGGGTGTCAGGGACACGCCTCCTAATGCAGCAGAGCTTGCACCCCGCACAGAACTCTTAACCCCAGAAGCGGGGTTCACAGGGAGGCGGCAGTAATCGCGACTCTCTACACTGAGACTGGGGTGCCAGCCTGGTTCAGGGGTGCCGCCGGGTACCTGAAGAGATCCTCATCTAGCCGCTCGAGGTTGAGCACGCTGGTGACCAGCACACTACGGAGGTCCCCGGAAAGGTCCCCGCGGTCGGCGTCGCCATAAGCATCCCCCGGGACCTCTGGCGCTGACATCTTGACTTCTCGCTGCCGCGAGAGACACCAGGAAACTTACAGAGCCGCCCAGCGCTTCCGGCAGGTCGCTCCAGGGACCGGAAATCCCTAGGGCTTCGCAGAGCAAGACGCAGATTGTGATTGGTCCATATACTTGTCAATTTCAGAGTGGGCACGGTCGTGTCTTTGTTGCGATTGGAGAATATTTGTGCCAGTTTGGGAGCTCCGCAGGTGATTGGATAAATTGGTGAGGGGGCGGAGCCTTTGGGCTGAATAATAAGGGCTGAGGGTCATTTCCCTTCTGTCACAGAGCAAAGTCGCCCCCAGGTTGCTGTAACGGTTCTCCGCACCAGGCTCCTCCCGAGCTCCCCATAGGCCACCCAGTCGGGGCCGCCCCTGGGCCCGTGCCAACCGGTACCTAGTGACCTCTGACCCCTGGCGTGATTCTGGGCCCTGGTGAGGGCCAGTCCCCGGCCATGGAGCTAGGCAGCTGCTTTAAGACCTACGAGGACTTCAAGGAGTGTTTCAGCGCCTACAAAAAGGAGACCAGGTGCTCCTTCATTGTCAGGGACTGCGTCTCCGTCCGCTTCCATAACCTCAACCACGGCACCTCCTTCCGCGAGGATATCCTGTAAGGGCGGGGCAGGAGGGTGGGGTGGAGGGCTGCCTGGAGGAGGAGGGCGTACTTGGGGCCACGTTGCCTATACCTGTTGAAAAGCGAGGGAAACCCCACCGGCGTGGCCTTGTGCTTGCTCCCATTCCTTCATTCACAAGCTTTCCTGGAATTCGCAATAACTGCACTTTTTTATTTTTGTTTTGTTTTGTTTGTTTGTTTATTGAGAGCAACTATCTTAAGCACCAGGCTTGCTGAGGAATGGGTCCAAACGCCTTGGTAATTTCCTCCATTTGTCTCCTCTTTACAAAGCAGTAATGTGCTCATTGGTTGGTTGGTTGGTTCTTTCGTTGATTCATCTTGTAAATGATTTTTGGGCACCTGATACACACCATTTTCAAACACCTTTTGTATCCAAGACCGTGCTCCCCATTCACTCATGCTTTCCTATGCAGGGGTGTGTGTCAGGATTATTGGTCGTTGCTCTTTGCCTCATTTGGCTTCATAGGCTAAGAGCCACGGAAAGCTCACATGCTTTTAGGGCTCAGGTGAAACAGCTTAGTATAAATTTAACTTTTAGTTGTACTTTGAGAAAAAGAATGGCAAGGTGCATGCTTATAATGTCTGCTTGAGAGGTTGAGGCAGGAGAATCATGAGTTTGAGGCGAATCGGTTTTTTAGAAATACAGGGCAAGGGTGGTGGCGGCAGTACATGCCTTTAATCCCAACACTCAGGCTGCAGAGGCAGGCCGATCTCTGAGTTTAAAGCCACCCTGCTCTACAAAGCAGGTTCTCTCCGAGAGAGAGAGATACAGGGCAAAATGAGAAGCAGGCCTCAGCGAGTGACTCCCTTGTGAAAAAGAAGGCCTTGTTGTGGCCAGAATTCTGCTGTGAAATCTAGTCATTATATGAATCGATTTGAAAGTGAACTCAAGTTTTAATTAGAACATATAGGCCAACTCATAATCACGCTACACCTGAGACAGGACTGACCTATTTGGACAGCACTTCCAGACAAAAGGAGCCTGATGGTTACGGCTCTACTCTGACATCCAGGACCATTCTAGGGTTCACAAAATGAATAAGTACCCCTCAGGAGCTAAAGGCATAGTGTACTTGGGCTTGGCAACCAGTGTGGGTCAAAATACTGAAATTACAAATAGAGGCTGGAATGACAGCTCTGTGGTTAAGAGGACTCCCTGCTCCTGCAGAGGACTCAAGTTCAGTCCCCAGCACCCACATGGCAGCTCACTAGCACCTGTGATTCCAGTTCAAGGGGCTCCCGACAGTCTCTTGCCCAGGGTTCCAGCAAGAACATGATACACATACATATGCTCAGGCACACACACCTACAGGTTAAATAAATATATGTCGGGTGTCGTGGTGAGTCCCTCAAAGTCCCAGCACAAGGAGGCAGAGCTAGGCCTATGCCTGTGGGTTCAGCGTCAACCTGTTCTAATGAGTTCCAGGGCAGCCAAGAACTACATAGTAAGACCCTATGTAAAAAAAAAAAAAAAAAAAAAAAAAAAAAAAAAAAAAAAAAAAAAAAAGAAAAAAAAGAAAGAAAAAATGATAAGAAAGTTAATATTTTAAAAGACAATAAAATCTACTGAAGAAGTACACTTTTGTTTTGTTTTTAAACACAAGCCCTTTCTATGTAGCCTGGGTGGCCTCAAACTCGTGGCAGTTCTCATCTCAGACTCCCAAGGGCTGGGATTACAGACGTGACCCACCAAGTGTGACTGAGACTTTCCCTTGTCGTTATTCCCTTCCTGCAGTCAGGCTGTTCACATAGAACTGACATTGTGATCCATATTATGATCTAGAGATGATGTAAAGTACATGGGAGGCTGTGTACAAGCACTGCGCTATATAAGACTTGACAGCTGCGTGGTGTGGGATCTGGAAAACAAGCCTCTATGTGCTAAATGCCTTCAAAGAGATAGTCAAAAGGCAAACCCAACACTCAAGAGGATGAGGCAGGACGATTGAATGAGCTTGAAGCCAGCCTACAATACATAGTGAACTCCAAACCAGCCTGGACTTCAGGGTGAAAACGTTCTCCAAAAACCAAAATAAATAAAATGTAAAAGTTATACAAAGAAAAATCAAGCATGGTGGTGTATGCCTTTAATCCCAGCACTGGAGAGGGAGGGGCAGGTGGATCTCTATGAGTTTGAGGCCAGCCTTGGCTACATAGTGAGTTCCAGGGCTGTACAGGGAGACCCTGTCTCCCCTCCTGAGAGAGAGAGAGAGAGAGAGAGAGAGAGAGAGAGAGAGAGAGAACAAATTCAAATCCTAGGAAAGGTATACAAGGCTTCATACTGAAATGAGTGTTTTTCCCTGAGCTTGTAAGTGAACAGAGGCCAAGAGCAGGAGAGCAGTGGTTAGCTGCTGAATATCAGAGAGGAGTTTGATGAGAAGGACCCATGGGAGTGAAGACATAGATTTGTAAAGAAGGTGGCATGCTCTTGAAATTGGGCTGCCGTTCTTGGCAGAAGGTGAGGTCAGTTGCAGTCTGTCAGAAAGTGCTTTCCATGACTGAGATATTTGTACCCTATGCTATGTGGTGGCACCTTGCTAAACTACCTCAGGCAGGTCATCCCTGCATCCAGCATGGCAGGTGTCCATAGCAGGTGTTAATAATTGTTGAGTAAATGACTTATCAAGTGTTAAATATAATTAGGGAAATGGGTGCTACAGGAATTTAGTTTGATGTTTGCTGTTCATATATACACGTATATATGAACATATATACGTGTATATATACGTATATATACATGTATATGAACATATATATACATACATGTATATGTATATATATACACACACACACACACACACACACACACACACACACACACACACACATACATACATGTATATATACCTATATATGAGTTTAGGCATTTGTTCTAATATTTTTGTTGTTTTCCAGACAAGGTTTCTCTGTGTAACAGCCCTGGCTGTCCTGGAATTCACAGATCTGCCTGCCTCTGCCTCCCAAGCTCTGGGATTAAAGGCCTGTGCCACCACACCTGGCTTAATCTTAAATTTTTAAAGATTCATTTCTATTTATATTTGTGTATATGTGTGGAGGCTGGAGGAGGACACTGGATCCCATGGAGCTGGAGTTAAAGGCAGTTGAGAACTCCCCAACGTGTGTACTAAGGACTAAAGTCAGAACCTCTGGAAGAGTAGCAAGCATTCTTAACTGCTGAGCCATTTCTCCAACCCCAAGTTTTGTGGTTCTAAACAATATAAATAGGGGTTAGGGAAGTGGTTCGATCAACAAAGTGTCTGCCACACAAGCATAGAGAACTGAATTTGGATCCCCAGTTCTATGTAAAGCCTGGGCACTATTGTGTGCTTCTATAACCCCAGGACTGATTGAGCAAAGATAGATTCCCAGAGCTCTCTGGCTAGCTAACCTAGCTGAATCTGTGAGTTTCAGTTCAGTGGAAGACCCTGTATCAGAAGATAAGGTAGAAAGGCAGGACGCAGTGGTACATGCATTTAATCCCAGCTCTCCAGAGGCAGAGGCAGGCAGATCTCTGTAAGTTGGAGGCAACCTGGTTTCCATATTAAGTTGCTACAAACCAGCCAGGGTAAGACAGGGAGTAATAGAGGTAGGTGCTTAGTGTTGGCCTCCGGCCTCCAAACACAGGCACATTCATGCACATGTGTTCACACCTTCCTGCTCCTCCCCATCTGCCCTCCTCTTTGAAGGCCTGATTGCCTGCATTATACTAAGCAAGAGTGATAGAAAGGTCAGAGCAAGTCAGAGCAGGGAGAGGGATAAGAGTTGCACAGTTAAGTGTGCAGTGTTGAACTGGACATCACCTTGACCTTGTGCTGGCTTAACCACTAGGCTGTAGAAAATTCCTACTGTCACTTTTTCACTCATTCCATCAACAAACTTGTATTCACCCATGGCCAGGAGTTAGGGGAAGGCCGGAAGATGAGTGCACTGTAGGCTCTACCCTGAAGACAATGTTAGACTAACCTGGAATTCATGTGTGTCTGCCTCTTCATCCTAAGCAGAGACAAAGGGACTGCTAGGTAGCCTTTAACCCCAGTACTCCAGAGGCAGAGGCAAGCGGGTCTCTGAGTTTGAGGCCAGCCTGGTCTGTGTAGAGTGAGTTCCAGGACAGCCATTCAGAGAAAATTGTTTTATTTTATTTTTGAGGCAGGATCTCACCCTTAGCTGGCCTTGAACATACAGTGTTACTCTGCCTGCCTTCCGAGACCAAGATTACAAGTGTGAGTCACCACGTCTGGCTAGAACAGTTTGTGTGCTTGCTTGTTTGGAAGCAGGACCCTCCTTCCTCTTCCACACCTGGCTCCCTAGAATGTGGAATGTTCTTTGTTTTTGAGACAGAGTCTCTCTATGTAGCCCTGGCTGCTGAGACTTGCTATGCAGACCGTTGCTGGCCTCAAATATGCAGAGATCCGCCTGCCTCTGCCTCCCAAGTGCTGGGACTAAAAGGCTTGTGCCTCCACACCAGGCACTATTGAATGCTTTGGATCATGCATGGCACACTGGCTCTGCATGGCACACTGGCTCTGTATAGCGCTGTTTGTGTTGGAGGAACTGGAGGGAATGTGGCGGACGTGTTTTTAGGAGATAATTTTACAGATGTTTCCATAGCCAAGTATAGCGACTATCTTAGCTGGGTTTTATTGCTGTGAAGAGATACCATGAGAAGGAAAACATCTAATTGGGGCTGGCTTACAATTCAGAGGTTTAGCCCATTATTGTCATGGCAAGAAACAAAGTGGCATACAGGCAGACATGGTGATGGAGAAGGAGCTGAGAGTTCTCTCTCCATCGTGATCCACAGTCAGCAGGCTGAGAACTGCCACACTAAGCCTAGCTTTAGCACAGGAGACCTCAAAGCCAGCCTCCACAGTGTCACACGTCCTCCAACAGGCCACACCCACTCCAACAAGGCCACACCTCCTAATAGTGCCACTCCCTATGGGCCAAACATTCAAACACATGAATCCATGGGGGCC